TTGTTGATGTGCAAAAAGTTTCATGAAGATTGCTTTTTTTTTAAGAGCAAGAAGATGGATTACTTAGCTTATAAGCTAAATCCATGTTTTGGGAGTCCCTCACGCTAAGCGCCAAATCTCTCTTGATTCGGCATCTAAGTACTTCAAACTTCACAGAAAACTAGTTTCATGCCTCATCTACATCTCAGAGTAACTTCAAGTCAACAGCGGGAGAGAATCGGTAGTTATAGCTCTTCCCGTGAGAACACCCTATTTGGTGTCCGCCATCTTGGATCGTTGGGCAAAGGGGTAACATGGCCATTTTGCTCCAACTTTGACAAAGGGTGGACACGTGCTCTTTCATTAAAAAAACTTGATACTTACAGGCATGATAGAATAATCTTTTGCCTTTCCTCTCATATTCTTAAATTATGACAGTGGTGTTGATTGACATCAGTCAAGTATGATTGACTTCTGTCAATCAAAGCGAAAATTTAATTATAAAGTTTTTTAAAGAATTTTACATGGTTGTAAATGTCATTCCTTGGTCTATGTAATGGTTGTATAATCTAGTCAACACAATAAATTTTAATTTTTATATAAATTTTCAAAGGCCTAGGAGTTAAGCGAAAATGTCAATTTTGAGATGGACAGGCAGTCACTCAATCTACTGTCACTCAATAACTCTAATTGTTAACCAACTTAAAACTGACAGGTATGACAGTCCAATCCCTTGCCATCCTTGTGATGTTCCTCAATTAGGAAAGTGATGTTGATCGACATATGCCAATCAAGGTTGACTTCTGTCAATCAAAGCGAAAATTTAATTATAAATTTTTTTATAGAATTTCACACGAAACTAATTGTCATTTCAAGGTCTATTTAATGCTGAAGAAATTATGTCATTTCAGTGATGTTTAAATTTTTTATAAATTTTGAAAGCACTATGAGTAAGGCGAAAATGGCATAATTGTGAAATGGACAGGCAGTCATTCAATCTACTGTAACTAAAGAACCCTGCTTGTCCCAGCCTTCAAACTTTGCAGACAATTGGTGCAGGAATAGCTTTATTGTATGTGTAAGTATGAAGAGAATTGCTCAAAACACAAAGGATTTATAACGTCTTAAAGAAGACGAAAAGGGTTGAAAAAATCATTTCTTTTTTTTTAATTTTATTTAAAAGTACAAAATATTGTGATTACATTGCTGTTAGTTTCACGAAAAAAGCAAAAAAAATGATTTTTTTATGAATTTTTTAGGATAAAAGTGATAGGTCTGCATAGCGTACATATGACACCCGTGTTAGCAGAAAATTCGTAAAAAATTTGGAGATAGAATAGTATCTAAGCCAGTAACAACAAACTATTGTCAAGTCTATGGACTACCATGTCAATATCATTTGGTGTCAATTCCGTGCGATTTTGATGGCTTTTGGAGCCCTGCAAAAAAGGGTAAAAAAACCCCATTTTTTTAGCTTTTTGGATCTCCAGCGCATGCGCATTGATGATTTGCGTACTTTTAAATAGCTCAAGTTGTAGTTCGTCAAGAGACCTTTCCAACGATATATAAAGTGTCTACATGCAATGAAATAGTGCTCAACAAAACGTGAAAAACCCTCTAACCCTAACCCTTGGTTTTCTCAAAATATGCAAATTTGACAAAAAAGGGGCATACAATCAAAACTATTTGACGAGATGACGTCATATTTGGTCTACATAGTACAAACAACGCCAGAAACATTCTGTGAAAGTTTCAGCTCGAAAGACCAAAGAATAAAGGTTTTAGCAGTTTTGCGATCTAGCCCTAGTTTCAAGGTTGAGTTACAAGTCAAAGTCTTGTGTAGGGGTGATACCTATACTAGATCTTTCGGCCTAGCTCTCGAATTACCAAATTAGAGGGAATCGAGTGAAAGCAATATCGCTCGACGGGGACTGGCCTATAGTATGAACATACCAAATTTGGGCATGTCTGGATTTTTTTTAGCTCGATTTCCCCGAGATGTTGACCCAGACTCCCTACCCCTTACCCTAAGTGCAATATTTCCTATTTGCTTTTAATGGAATCATGCCAAACCTTGCACATAGATAGTTCAAGACTAGTGCTCTATGTATACTAAAGCACAAGTTCAGATATTAAATCCTGAATTTTTTTATGAATTTTCTAAGAGGGTTCGGTTGGAGGGAGTCCGGGTCAACATTAAGTCAAGATTGTTGACACGGACTCCCTTTCGGGGAATCAATTTTGCGTGAAAACGTGGGTTTGCATTCTCCAAATCCCTGGGGAATCAAGAGTAACTAAG